CTTTACTAATTTCAAGTGACGAGCTTATCATGTTGTTTCTACAGTGGCTTCTTAAAGCTCTTCGACAAGCGCGAATGTGCGCTAGCATCGGGGTAGGCGAGCAGTACGACGTTCATAGGTATGACTTTGATACTACTTTTACCTTTTTTTAACTTAATTAATGCTGTTCAATGAGATGTAAATTTCATATTCCGCTTATTTACGGCCGTCATGGAGATCCATCGCTGGAGGAAGGCAAAGGTATTTTAATATGTAAAATAATGCAAGGAAATCGCACGCTTTTCTGTCTTATTACTTACGTGTATCCAACGTTGTCAGCGCGTGCAGTACCGCAATCAAAAGAATTTTGCAAAACTCATTAGCTTCATAGTGTAATAAGCGTGGTGACAGTTTTCATGAAATTTTTATTGTGCTGATGTACTGGCTATGCTTGCGTGACGAGTGGAGTGCTGACATTGAATTGGGCTATAACTTGCCCAATACCAGTGAAGGATAAGCAGACAGTCGGATACTTTTACTAATAATGGGAGAGTGTGGTAATAAAGTATGCATGTGATGCTTTTATGCTACGCAGCAGATTGAACGTTGACTTTGTTATTTTGGATTTAAGACGACTATGAGTTCATATATTAAGGAATAAAGATCGGGTATCTAACGTTCGTAAGCAACAGCACGACTCCTAAAGTAGTTGATGCCGGTGCCTGTCTAGTAGCGCTCTGCCAAGCGCTACTGTGAGAGTTAATTCACAGTAATTTCTTATGAGCTTGACAGATATTACCGACGTAGTCAAAAGAGTAGGTTTGTAATCTTATAATAACACTTTTATTTTCCTATTCTGGCGGACTGGCACCCGAGTTTGTAATACCTCGTGATATCATTATCGATAAGCCTTATATCACACCTATCTACTGTCAGATTCATATCAGAAATAACTCTCCCGTACAATTACTCATACCAATACAACTGATATCATTCAAAAAACGTTTTAAAAGACTGAAACCTACATCTCACCCCAATCACCATCATCATCTTCTTCAAATTGAATGTCTGCATTCTCCACTTCAAAGTCCAATAACTCACCTGTCTTCCCATTCGTCGCTATCGTCGTAGTAGCTAAAGTATTAGCCATCCCATAGTCTAAATTCGGTAAAGATGAATGCGAATCTTGACTCGAAAATCCGAACTCGTTTAAAGCTGATGAAGATGGGAATCCAAAGCCAGATGGATCATCGTGATAGTTACTCGTGCCAGCTGTAGCTTGTTGTTGTATTTCATCCTCAGCTTGAGCAATAGCTGCTGCTTCACTACGCATACGTGCAGCATGTTCTTCCATCGCACGAGCGTGCGCTTCCATCTCTGCAAGTTGACGAGCTTCTTCCTCTGCACGTGCATGCGCTTCAGCTTGTGCTATTTCCTCAGCTCTCACTTGCTCGTATTTCAATTGAGCAGCTGTAGCTTCTATTTCAGCTACTGGATTTACCGTCGAATCATCGTATAGAGTACTAGTAGTCTCGACAGTTGAAAGATTGCCACTCAATACTAGCTCGAGAAGATTACCACTTTCCAGTAAATCCTTCTTTACGAGATATGACGATGCTGGCGCATTCGTCTCTTCACCGCCATTTTGTGTAAGAAGAATTGCTTCTGCTTGCATCGACAATTGTAGATTCTCAAACAAATCGGCATTATGTGTAGGATCAGCCAATGCTTTAGCAGCACGAGAACTTACTACAGCCAAGTCTTGACGCCATTTATCCATCACAAGTTGCATTTTTGAAGGACAATAACTGCGTGCAAAGAAAGCAGCTTCAGGAAATCGTTTTGTCTCTTTCAATGTCTCTACACATTCCGTTGTCTTGCCAAGTAGTAGCCAGCAGATAAACGCAATATTGTAACGACGTTTCTCCTTTGCAAGCTCAGCTAAATGCACAAGACCAGTCTTGTCGCCACGACTTGTGTACAGAATGAGTAATAAACTGAAATCATCCGCTCGAAGTGCACAATCTTCAGCAAGAGCCAATTGACAATCATTGAGAGCAAGATCACCCAATTGTTTCCATTTGTGCTGCGTCTCAATGTCCACATCTTTTCCTTTTCCTTTATCAATCTCTTTGAGCATAATTTCATGTGCAACATCTAGCTTTGCTAGTTGAACAGCAAGGTCAAATTTTTGATCGGGATCAGTACTCAAAGCTAATGCTTCTTCTTTAAATCCCTGAGACTCTAAAAATCGAGCAACGTGATCCATTTGATCAGCTGGAATCTTTGGTAAAATGGCATTTGCACTTTCAAAGTCACGACGTACTACCGCAGTTTGATACTCAAGCATAACCAATGACACTGTGTAACTCACAACGTTTTTCATCTTGTCCATTAAAAAGACAAGATTCTCACGCGGTAAATATCCTAACAAGTACATTTTCTGCTCTAAATGAGCAAGAGTCATGACTTCTCCACCCACATAGTAATTCAATCTTCCACCAGAGTTCGTGTACAGGAAACAATCACCAACCCACGTGCCTGTGCCAACTTTCTCCGAGATTTCATGCAGCAGATCAAACGCACCATCAACACCATCTTCAGCCGAGTTTGTACCAGCAGCAAATGCTTGTGCCACCAATTCTTTATTGTACCGCAGTACATAGAAGCTCGAATCACACGCTAGGACGACAAGAGTGCCATTTTCCGACCAAAAAGCATTTTTCACGGCAACATCAATCTTACGAATGAGACGTAATTCTTCCCAATCAAACATTGCAATAGCATCGTTTCCTTTTACACCAATTGCACCAGTACCACCAAATAATCCTTCAGCTGATACAACACGAGGTTTCTCACTCTTAACCTCTTTAAAATTACGAAAAAGGGTGAGATCTGAAATGCTTTTCCGAACAACATAATCGCCAGTACCCGTTGGTGACCAACAAAAGTCAAGTGCCGCACCAAATGCCTTATTACGTAGCTGCTGTGCCGTGTAAATAATGTACTCGCCGTCTCCACACACAACGACGTAGCGTCCATTACTATTGTGTTGTACCTTTTGAGGGTACACTTCACAACTACCAAGGTCTCTTGAAACCAAAGGGAGCTTCTCACCGTCTTGTAATCCCATTTCACTCACGATTCCTTTGACACTAGCTGTATAAACATCATTATTTGTTGTCCAAATCACTTTTCCACTTCCTCCACTATCCATACTTACAACAGGTGTATCATGTCCTAATCGTAGTACAATAGTACCTTCATCGTACCCAATTGCTAAAGTATTAGCCGATGGTAACGCTGCAAGTGACCAACTACGTTCCATGCCATAATTTAAAGTCGTTTCTGCACGATAGGTAGTTGAATGCCACATGCGTACAGCTCCATCTTCACTGGCTGAGATTATTAGTGGTAATCGTGGGTGGTACAATACAGACGTGAGATTATTTCCATGTCCATCTAAAGTATGAACGATCGCTTTTGTCTGATAGTCCCAAACTTTAACAGTACGATCATCACTACCTGATAGTAAATATGGTTTATCTCCTCCTGGATAGTAAGCAACACAATTAACTCCACGTTCATGTCCTTCAAGTACAAAATGTGCATGACTTGATTGAAGACCCCAAACTCGTACTGTTCGATCTAAACATGCGCTTGCAAACGAATGAGCATCTTTTGGATTGAATTGCACCATCATCACATAATGTCCATGACCTTCGTAAACATGTGAACAAGTAAAATTCTTGTCCCAATCCCAAAGTTTAATTGTCATATCATCAGCACATGTAAGAAAACATGGAAGGGTTGGATGAACTTCAATATGACGAATGTAGTCACTATGGGCTTCAAAACTCGTAAGTTTTTCCATTGTATTGTAGTTGAACACACGTATTTGCATATCATCACTACTTGTAATTATCCATTGTTTTCGAGCGACAAATTTCGCATTTCGTACAGGAAGTGATGAAACTTCGAGTGTCTTGACAAGTGATTGAGTTGCATAATTCCAAATCATTAAACTACCAGAGTATAAAGCAGATAAAACCCATGGCTCGATAGGATGAAGATCAACACTCTTTACACGCTCAGAGCGAGAATAAAGTTTACGTTTAATATCGAGACGAAGTGGCTAAAGATGAATATACAAACAAGAAGTGAGAAAAATGAGAGATGAAACTTTGAGTAATAAGGAAACAAAATAAAATGTTATCAATTCAATGTCGATACAACTGTGATAGATGCGTAAAAAGAAAGTTATCGTCGCATAAGAGAATGCGGTAGACGTACCATGACAAAGGGAAACTTTGAATTGTAGGATCTTAAAGGACAAGCAAGTGGCAGTGTATAATTGGTGGAAATTATACAGTCTTTTAGTAAGGTGGACCACCTGAGGAAGTTTGTCAGTGTAACCACTTACCTAAAAATGGTTACATAATTGCGATTGTGTCCTTTCAAGATCACCTTTAGTCTCCTCCTGGACATTCAAGAAGTCGATTCTATCTACAATCTATCAAAGCAAATGGTAAGAAAGTTTTAGTATTTGAACTTGTTTACTTTAATGAATTTATCATATGACAGATCCGCTTCTTTCTGCTTCAAAATCGTCAAGGCAAGACGCGACTGTCCAAGTATTACGTACCACCACCGGAAGATCAAGAGAAAGCGCGATTAGAGACGGAGATTCATCGCCTTGTTGTAGCTCGTGATGCAAAACATACGAACTTTATTGAGTTTCGTAACTATAAACTCATTTATCGTCGCTATGCTGGTCTCTTTTTTATTCTGGGTGTAGACCTGTCGGCTAATGAATTGTTGGGTCTTGAAACAATTCATCTTTTTGTTGAATTATTGGATCAACAGTTTGCTAATGTTTGCGAACTTGATATTGTTTTCAATTTTAACAAAGTAAGGAGACGATGAGATGAGAATTGGAAAGTGATGAAACACTGAAGCTGTTTGTTTGTTTAGGTTTACTCCATGTTGGATGAATTTGTTTTGGGGGGTGAAGTACAAGAAACATCGAAACGCGAGATGCTTGATCGTATTCGTGAACTAGAAAAGCTCGAGTAGTAACATCATTCTATAACTATTCCAATCATATCGAGACCATTACGTCACGGACACCACCCCATTGTGCATCCTAAAAATCTATTTTCATAAATTCAAAAATGTTTAAGAGTACGAACGAGGACGTTGCGTACAGCATGCTCTTCGTTCGTCGTACAAAAAAATCGACTAATTCCACTTAATTCGAACAAGTCTCAATTTCAGATACTACATAATCAAGAGCTGCCTCTACAACCTTTTTTACTGGCACAGCCACAACCTCTTCAAAGTCTCCAGCGTCAGCATCAAAAAGACTTTTGATTTCTGTACCTTCTCCATTTGTACTGTTGGTGTTGTCCGAACATGGCAACGTCGTAACTTCTTGCGATACACAATCACTTGATTCTACTATCGACAACACATTTGTCTCCACTTCTCTACTACTACACTCTTCTTTAGCATCAGCTGAAGCCTCGTCCGTTACAGTCTCCAGTGTAATGGCTTCACTGGCTTCAGCTTTTACATCATTTGTACGAAAGAACTCGTTCGCAACTAAAAAATGTACAATCTGCAGCATTTTACGCTGTTCCACACGCATATCTTTTGCAAGTAATTTACGCAGCAATGACTTTTGTTCTCCACGCCACTGTTGCTCTTTAACTCGATCTTTTTTACGTTCAAGCTGTCCGAATATCATTGTTGTATCATGAGAGTACGGACAGTACATCCCTTTTATACACGATCCTTTATACATCATTGCACGACATCCAAATAATGATCGATCGTGGCTAAATTTGCATTGCTTTTCATTCAGACGACATTGACCACGAGAAAAATACTTGCACAAGATGATCTTGCGTGACTTTTTTACAAAAGGTTCTTGTTGACTCACGTCAACAACTCTTTCACTTGTTGTGGTACCAGTTTGAAGCACAATTTTTGCTTTGACTTCTTCATCCTCTTCAATCTCACCTTCTTCTAAATCTTCATCAGATGAAATTGATAATTTTCGTTTGCCTGTTCCAAACGTATTTGTTCGATTTGTCTTTGGTTCTTTTGACATAGCAAGCCAATTTTTTCGTCGTTCTTCTCGCCATTTCGCTATCTCTTCTGCCGAATTCCCAACTAAGACCATAAACTTTTGTCCTTCCACTTCAATCTCTTTTAAACCTTGACCAGCATATTGTCCATGAGCTGTTTGAAAATGTGCCCCAACGACTCGTTTTGAAGCTGTAAAATCACAGTTTGAACACGTGACATGAAAACTCAAATGTGCTTCATATTGTGATACAACATTAAAACTCTTGACGCATGTTTCACACTTCCACACTTGCATTCCAACCTCAAACTCTTGTCGATTGTAATTCTCAGGAAGCTGCTGTGCATGAGTCGGTAATGGTGGCATAGGACCTTCAGGTAAAGGTGGTTGGCTTGAAAGGTTCAAATTTTCAAAATGTCTTCGTGGATCTTGAGGCTTTGGTCCTGGTAACGGTGATGGAAATCCTCGCTCAATTTCGATTTTGGGATTTAATCGCGATTGATAAAACTCTTTTTCTTGATTCTTTTCATTTTCAAATAATGGACAATGTTGTTTCCAATGACCAGGTTGATTACAATTATGACAAACGTACGTTGGTGGAGGAAGTCGATTTGATTGTTTGCTAGGATCATGAGAATCTTGACGTCGATCTTGAAAATGAAATGTTGAATCTTGTGAATATGAAGGTGGAACGGGTATAGTATTCCGTTTAAGCCTCTGATCATATGTTGGAGGTCCATTGAATTGTAAGGGATGAGGTTGTTGAAAGTGATACCATGTTTGATCTTGAGATTGAATGTGGTGCCGATTTGTACGTGGATCCTGTGGCTGGATAGGATGAGTTAAATCTTGGTAAAATGACTGTTGATCATTCTCTCGAGGTACTGGAGCGTAAGCTTGTTGTCGTGCTTGAACAGCATCTGCAAAATCAATTGATTGACGTGGAGCTGGTACAGTTGAAATTTGTGGATTGTTTAAATACCCGCGAGTCTCATCATGGTACTGGATGTACTGATGAGAAAGAGAAAGTGATTGTGGTTGTTGATATTGCGAAAATTGTTGAAATTGTTGCGTTGGATACTGTGAGAATGTTTCAACAGGCTGGTGGTACAAATCTGGTCGTAAAGATGGTGGACACGGAGGAGCAACATTGTATCCACTTCTATCATCGCTGTGCCCCTGTTGTTGATACAGAGTAGGTGCTTGATACTGTTGCTGATACTGATCTTGTGGTGGATACTGAGAAAACCCTTGTGGTGGAGGCGGATACACTTGTTGTGGAGGAACATGTTGAGGTGAAGGGTACGACGCGTAACTCTGGTCATCGTGCCGACGTTGCGACTGAAAACCACTTCCTCGACCGCCACGACCACCGCCGCCACTTCCTCTACCTCTACCACGTCCTACTCGTCCGCTACCTCGTCCACGTCCACGTCCAAAGCCTCGACCGCCTCGGCCGTTGCGGAAGTTGCCGCCACGCTCCATTCTCTTATTATTGGTGAGATTATAGTCGTACTTGAGACGAAGTTAATGGTGCGTATGAAAAATAGAAACGCGTACTTTTTTAAACCAGTTACATGCTTATTTAAATCTGCACTGATTTAGGGCAAATTGCTTAATGCAACATTATACATTGTCGGATGTTGTGGCCGTCACTGTAATGATAAAATGTTTATTTGGTTATCTTCACTGCGTCAGTACATTCCTCAATTACTGTTTCTTTACTAAAGTGATATAATTATTAACATCACTTTGATGTACAAAGCGCAAAAATTTGCCAACATTCGTCGCAATTATATCATTGTCGTTGGTCTCTAAAAAATATATCAATGATACCAAGTCAGATGGACGAAGGAGTTGCGGTGGACACGAACGCAGGCGGAGGTATCGACAGCTTTGGCGATTTAGCCGCTGGTGCACTAACAGATGAAATTTCTTGCTTCCTCTTCAGCTCACTAGCAAACGGTTGCCCGAATGTCTGTCCTGATACCGATGAAACGCTAGTTTTTCCCGTCAGCGATTGAATTGTTGGACTTGGTTTTCGTTTTAAGAATCTCGATGCCACAAATGTAAGCGGCATTGCATCTTTTGGTCCAAAAGGACGATACCACGCATCTGGTACTCCACTTGGAAGCAAGTACGTCGGGTACAACTGCAATGTTGATTTACTATCATGTTGGGCCACTAGCGTGCTTGTCTCCTGCTCTTTTTCAGACAGATTAGTATTGTCCTTATCAGGACTATTTTTTGAAGCATTCTGTTCTGTCCAAGCATCAGTCCCACTTTGTGTCGCAACAATTGATAGCTCTTTCTTGATAACTTTTTCATTTTGACTTGCCACTTGTGCATTAATTGCAGCTGGAGTCTTACAGAAATCTTCTTCATCAGAATCTGGTAATAAATTATCATTATGTACCATAACAATCTCGTCGTAAGCTAAGAATTTCCAGAGCAACTGACACTCTTGAGGCTCCATTCTTAGCTTGTGCGTTGTCTCCATCTTCTTAGCAACAGATTCCCACTTGATAAAGGCTAGAGTTAACGCATAGATTATTAGTTTATTACTAGTTTTTATCGAAAAAAAGGTCTCCTATCGTACCTGGAGACTTAGTCTCTTCCAGCACGGTCGATGCCAGTGTCTGCTCCTTTATTTGACGTAAAATAATTTCGCAAAGTAATACACAGTCGTGACTTGTGTACCGCCCAAGTACCTTGCCGCCGTCGTGTATCCCATTCGAATCAAACGAGTCAAATCGCTGGGTTACGCTCGTCTTCGAACCCGTATGTGCAGCTGCCCGAACTCTACGTCGCTGTCCGGCTGAGTTTACACCATCCACATGGGCAGGTATAACGTCAGCAGATGCAACTGACGTCGCTGCGTCCTGTATGGGCGATGAGAAACGAGCTGACACGGAAGTGGAGGCTGGTGACGCTGAGCCAGTTATACGACGTCGTTGTGAGCGGCGAGATGTACGAGAAGATGTGGTTGGTAGAATTTGTGATGTTAATGAAGCTGCTTTAGCGCTTGGCTGATGTTCCCGCTTAGAGCGACGCAGCACCGGCTCCGATTCCATGGTGTTATTCTGTGATTAATATTTTATAATACCGATAACACTTTGAACATATCATTTCAAACAGAGGCTAAAAATTGTAAGACCTCGCAAGAAAGAGAAGGCAAGTGACCGCGGCATGTGATGCTCAAATTGACGATGCGTATGCTTACGGCTACAATTCGTACAAGGAGCTTGAGTGATGAGGAGGATGGTTTAGCTCTTCATGCTCCAAAGTAGTTGATTTCGGCGTGCGCATCGAAACAGTCTGCATATCTGAACAATTACATTTATCAGCACAGCAACGGTTACAGACAGAAAAATTACTGGGCCACAAATTAGCTTCTTGACGGATTAACAATAATCATATATATATTACATTCCACAGCTTTCGTGCTCACCTTTCTTGTTCCAAATTCCCACTATGATGTGTATTGTATTTCATTCTGGCTGGTTTGCTGTGCACTTTGTACCGAAAGAAGTTTCCACTTGAGCATTTTGCACTAATAATTGCACAGAGATCAGTTTCTTGCGCTCCTATTAGTAGAGAAACCGAAAGCTCCATATGTCTAAAGCTACGCTTTTTGAAGAGTAAATGTTTCAGGATCTCATATTTTTGAAACCTGTATCATATACAATTAACTATCTCTCACAGTAAACTACCTTTACTATCTGCGGCTGGCAGTCCACACGCATCATGGTCCTGTCTTCTTTATAGTTCGTGGTGTTTTCGATATCAACAATCGACCAAAAGATGCCGCACAAGATGCGCAGTATTGATCGAATACATTGGTACCAAAAGTGTAAGACAACGTTACAGCTTATAAATGAGGAAGTAAATGATAAATGTAAAAACATTACATGATATCCTGTATCTCAAGTAGCAGAGGCATCTGATAAAAAAATCCCTGAACGCATCGTGTCCTCGCATATTTTAGCATGCAAGAGTCAAGAAGTTACTCGGGATTGAGCCCAACACCCGAGTTAGGAGCGAAGACACTCGACCGACGCTTCAGTAAATTTCTTAAGTCTCGATACGTTTTAGGCGCAAAAAAACTAGACCAATAAGCTATTACGCTTTCTTCCGTTGCACTTGGTAGCTTTTCTAGCTAATCCCATCACCGTCTTGTAAACGGGCTGTATATTCTGCATAAATAAATCTGAACTGTTCGAGTACATGTCCCCCGAGCAGCTACACCAGCTTAATAAGCTTATATTCATCGCTGATCCCGATAAGATCCGAGAAGTGATGGCAAAAGTAATTGACGCTGAAATCAATCTCCTAGAGGCCCTCACTAGCTATGAGAAGGCGATGGTGAGGCACCTGCCAGCACCGGTGGGATAATAAATGGCATTCACCGTGAACCCGCCAATGTTCAGTGTCCAGGCTTTTGAAGGTAGCGACGAAAAGAACTTCTTCCTCTGGACGGTAAAGTTGTGCTGGTCACATATTCAGCCGTGCTCCAGACGGATCAGGTTCCCGTCACATTTTCGATCGCCAAGCTAGGAGGCCACACGCTAGAATGGTACTGGCGTGTAGGATCTCTGAGGGGGAGGTGCTACCACCGGGTGGTCATGCCGCATAACCAGACAAACAGGGGGTATTTATAGCTCTATTTACCCATATGGGACGAGAAATAGCGGACTATAACCAAGAGCCAGGAACACTTATAGCAGCAATGGAAGCTGCAACAGTTACTCACTCAATGAAGGGTATCCAAACGGGAGCGACTTACACTAAGACCGTCTGCAGTTACCCTCTTATTTCGAGGAAGCGGTGGGCGTTGCATTTGATACAGAGTACAACTCCAGTGCTGATGCGACAGGATGGGGTTCTGATATGTAAACTCGACGAGTACGCCAGAGGTGTTGGACCTCAGCCATGCTAAAGAAGTTATATATGTTAGCTGCTGAGCAGCTCCACGTGCTCTATATGCGGTGTTACAACACATCTTTACCTCGTGTGCCCTCTTCGCTCTCAGCTAAGCGGCAAAAAAGAACGCAAGAGCGACAACCTCACCGGGGATTGTCGAGTGCAATCAGCCACTCCTCACCCTCCAATCCTGAACTAGATACTATTTTACCTCGTTAATATAGTGGCTAATGGGATCTAGCCCTTGATGACGCGGCTTATCTCAAGATGTAAGCCTCATAGCCCAGATTTGTTATATCAAAGTTTCGGACTTTGTGAAACCGTGAAATAGCATCAAAGATTTAGGATGTCGTGCAATTACGTACAGCTAATAAAAAAATAAAAAGTTTGTGGAGGCTTTGAAGGTGCAAAATACAGAAATGATTTCCGCGCGTCTTGCGAAAGGGACATTGATGAACACGATAATAGAAAGCATTCGAGTAAAGGTTGGGGATATGGACATGGAACGTTGTCTCACCCTGAACTTGGATGTAAAATACGAATGTTACTTAATATGACATTGTCACATATCACGATCGTGACATCAACAAACCCGTGAAGTATCACTTGGCTCGAAATCGGAGAAGCTCGATTTCACGCAGGTAAGGCTTTGGCGAGTCTCAAAGCCGCTACTACGCGAAGGCAAAAGTGTTTCTGCTGCAAGAATGAAGCTGCTATAGCTTCTGTGAAGAACATTGGATTGTCCGAGATTGATAGCAGTAATAGTACGAGCGGGTCCTGAAAGGCAGAAGTAGTAGAATTCCGCGGCCTGATTATTAGACGTAAAAGAAAGATTTATGTCATGATCCCCAGAGTGTAGCTCTGGTGAGTAAGAAGAGCATAGCTGTGAGGTGTTGTCTTCAGAGCAAAGGCTGCTGGACAACGGAAGCGGGTGTCCAAGTCTCCTGTTTCAGAGCCGAAGGACGTGAAGGGTGACTCGTAATTAAAAGTAAATGTTCAAGGCACTGACGTTATGAAGAATGGGTTATTGTTGTTATGGTGCAACAGTCCTAGGTCAGCACTACCACGTGACGGGGCTACAGTGCAGAGCATGGAAGCGCAATGTGTATGAGCCGATAAAGTTTACGAACTCGTATAACGAGTGACCAGGTTAGTCGAATGTCTCCTCATAATCTCTCCAGCAGAACTTTAGAACGTCGGATGGATTAACATTCTGCGCTATTTACATGGTGACGAAGTCACCGAATTTGGACGCTAACTATCGAAGGAGGAACTGAGCTTGTCATCCGTCGTGGCGAATCTGTCAGTGAGATCGCTCGCATATCACTGAGTGAAGAGTGGGACAAGTATTATCGTAAGTTCTTTGGACCAAAATTTGAAGAAATATCACGACGTGATCTATCAAGCGTATTACCCTCGGATGAGGAAGGAATTGTGTCATGAAATTGACTTGGAAACGAAGCCGAACATTTTGCGTCACACTCAATGAAAGAACAGTGTGAGATCAACAACGCTGGGTATGGTGATTGCCAGTGAATATTCACACTCGGCGCCGACTTTCTACGTGAAAGGCAAACGGCAAGTGGCGAATTGTGTATCCTATAGATACGCTAAATGCAGCCATAATCTTGGCGTAAAAGCCGGGTACCAAAAAGACTGTATTACAGAACAGTATGATTAGTTGCATTATGTTAAGTGCGTTCGACCTAGTTGATGGAAATCATCAACTACTTGGGAGAGGTCCACGATAACTCTCTTATTGTGGTATGTATATTCGAGCGAGAAGCTAAGGAAATGTCTATCATGTCACAGCGGCTGTCAAATGCAACCGTAACACTCAGTCGCCGTTTGATACATCCGCTATTCAGGCCACATCGCGGCTTTACACAAACGTTTTTCGACGATATATCCGTGCAGAGTTGTGCAGAGTAAGAATAGTCGGATGTGGAAACACATTATACTTGCGAGCGGTGTTCGAGTATATGTGCTTGAACAAGCTACTCGACATTATAGACAAGAGAGTCTTTGACGTTGACAGAATCCCATTTTTGGCCACTCATTGGAATGCAGCGTCCAACATACCCCGCGACCATATAGGTGATTGTAGACTAGTTATTGCCTTTATACCAGACGGACTTGAAATCAATCGGATTGGCCTTATCAATTACTTGCATAAGAATCGTGCAAACCATGCCGGCGTGGCACAACCCCAGCAAATCTGCTTTAACCGACGTGTCAAATAGTCTTAGGGTGTGGCGGATAACTTGGTCTCGAAGACCAGTCGCGTGCCCGATTTCGGCTCTTGCAGCTCCAAACTGGTCATTCCACGTCGTTGTGACGCCTCAGCATCTGCTGTAGGCTGCACTCTACCCCAAGCAGATGCCAATGAGCATGAGCGTGTGGAGCACTGGAGCTTTGCCAGCTGAACGCTGCTGGAAAGGTCACGTCGGCAATCATAAGGCGATTCGTTCAGCGTATGGGTGAGACGCGACATGTTTCGCATGTGTTGTACTACCTAACACGTCAAAAAGCAAGGAGTTTTTGCTGTACTCTTAATTGTCCAAAGAAAATAAAATAAACTATTTTCTCCCATAAATGGGCTTACGGGAGTCCTGTTACAATCCCAGTTCGCGAGCCAGTCGGACATGAAAAGCTTTGTTACAGAAGAAGCAACATTTCTACCATCATTTGTAGCTGAGTCATCCCCTGCTTCAACGTAGCTTTCAATTGCTGAGAATACCTCAGACCAGGTCATGCGATGGCAGGCACAAAGAATAAACTAAGATCCGGCTCATCTCAGCCTCGGACACGCGCCGTGACCCTCGAAGAGAGTCGACTTGCCGCCACAGCAAAAATAGCTTGCAAGAGTCAGTCGCACAAGGATCACATTTCGCAAACACGGCTTGATGAAGGAGACACTTCTTCGTTGATCGTTTGGTGAACTGGCGGATAAACTAGGGCTGTTACTAGCGCCTGATATAGCATTAGGGTTAGTTTTAATCCGAAAAGTTGTAGGGGTTCCACTTTTGCAAGATTGTTGTGGTGCTGTGGCCGCTTATGATCTAGCTAACCCTTATTCTATATCTTTCTCGGCGAAGCGGCAGCGTCGCCAGTCATAGCGCGCTTCCCGTTATTGCAATCAACCTGAGGG